GCCCGCCAGCCGATTTCCTGTGCCCACAGGGTTCCCAGGCGGGCTGCGTGCACGGGACCGGCCGTCGCAGCTCGCTGGAGGTGCCCGTGACCTGCAGCAGCGGCCGGGCCCGAGGGGAGCCGGGAGAGCGCTGACTGTGCTGGCGTGGGGAAATGCTTGGTTGCTGCTTTGTTTCGTCCTCTGGGCAGACAGAGGGCAGCCAGGCCAAGCTCCCCGTGCCTCGGACACAGCAGGACTCCCGAGGATCGGGGCTGTCCTGGGAGTACAGCAGATCACCACAAACGGAGCGGCGCGCACACAAAGCGAGGGCCCAGCCCCAGTCAACGCCACCTTTCTTGCTCTGATAAAGGCAGCGGCGTCGGCAGCGCCACCAGGAATTAATCCGTGCTTCGGGCTGGTTGCTTTTTGTGTGGAAACCATCCCTGCTACCGCTGGCTCTTTAAACCCAGAGGAATGAGGAGCAGCACTGTGGTGTCTCTACCCCTTTCGTTTTATCTTATAGTTGAAAGTCTGGTTAAATGCTGCCTCTAACGTCCTGGAATCTTTCCTGAGAGACCGCTGTGGGTTCACTGAATTAGCCTGATACAGCAATAACTTTGTTTAGGGTTTTTGAAAGGGAATACGGGCAACAAAACCTATCAACCACTCTGAAGGAATGCTTGGGGTGGGGGCAGAAAGCTGAGGCCTTGTGCTATAGCATTGCTAGCAGACTCGTTCCAGATTCACCGAGTCCTATTCTTCTGATCCTTCGGCGTTTCTCGCAAGGTTTGTCTCTCAAAGGCTGTGAAGGAGCTGAAAAGGTAAAGAAGGAATGCAAGGACCCCAAGAGACCTAACCCGTCACTTTCTAGAGGAGTCAAGAACTGAAGGATCCGGGCGGCAGAGCTGCTTCTACAGCGCGGGGAGCTGCTGCAGCTGTGAGGGCCAGCTGGCGGTGCAGGCAGGGTCTCCCCGTGCTTTGCCGAATCAAGCCCTTCATAACGGGCAGAACTGCAGCCCAGCGTTAGCCCTGCACACAGCCCCGAGGGCTGCGACATGAGCACAGCGACCTCACCCTAGGGCAGGTCTCCCTCCCCGACACCGATGGGCTCTCACAGCCCTTTCTGCTCCTGTCACTTGAATAAAGTGGCAATGGACAGACAGGGCACTGCTGTGTCAGCCCTGCTACTTCTTTGAGGTCATGGGGTATCAGCAGAAGTGCAGCAAGTCACTGCTTACAGGTACGTGAAAAGGAGCAGCCAGCAGCAGCTTCAGTTAGTCTGGAATCCATGGAGCTGGCTGAATCTTTATTTTCTGTATTTGCTTCAGTAGCAAGAATTGCATCAGGCACAAAACTGCATTGTTTGTTGCATCCTGTTTGCTCCAATCCGCATTTCCCTCCCCTGTCAGTTGCCAGGGAGGAGGTAAGGAGGTGCTGGCTGTGCAAGGAGGGGAGTGGAGCAAGCCTGGTACCTTGCAAACTCAGTAGCACTGCAATGCAGTCAGCTAGAAGAGGAGAAAAAAACTGTACACTCCGCTGCCGTATCACCAGTGCTCTGTGGACTGGGACAAAGGTTTCTGGCTGTGGAGACGTGGTAAGAACGATACCTTATCTGGTGGTAAGAAAAACTGAAAGTCTGTGTGTGGCATACGAGCCAGACGAAACCTGGGAGGAAGCAGGGAGGTGGGTTTCTTCTTTGGTGTTTTGGTGCTGAACCTATCGAGGTAACGTGTTCCTTTACAATATTTCCTCTTCCGGGCTTTAAGTCCCTGCGTGTGGGAAGGACTTGGCAGAGGGTTATGTAAACCTCTAGTTAAAAGCACATGAAAGAACACGAAGAAGTGGGCTGAAATGGCAGGTTATCGTTGCAGCGGGGCTGGTTATTGGAACAGCTCTGTGGGAAGACGTGGCTGTGGCTGACGTTTCTGCGTCCCTCAGGCCGCTGGTGGGTTTTAGGTGTTTTCCCCCAAAGCCGAGCTGAGCTGAGAGCAGGGAGCAGGGCATACCTTCCACACCGCAGCCCGCAGAGATCTCCTGCTGAGGTAACCGCATCCGTCCCCGCCGCCTCCCGTCTCCTCCGCAGCGGGACCGAAGTGGGTCACGGCTCGGGTGGCGATCTGAGGGGAGAAAGGCGCTGCAGCAGAGGTGCGGGCAGGGGCTGCGCCAGCGCCGGGCTGGCGTGGGGCCTGCGCAGGCAAGGCTGCACGGACCAGGTTTGCAGCCGTTTGCCTACAGATGCAAAACAGGATTGTGGCGCTTCTGGCCCTTCGGTCTTCCTAACCAGTGACCGCCGCTGCAGAGGGGAGCACTGGGATGACGATTCTCAGCAGCTGTGTTATCTTACAGCATCCACCCACATCACAAAACCCCCAATTAGAAAGCCTGTCTCTGTTTATCACAAGGCTCATCTCTACAGAAACCAAACTCTCATTCCGGGGTTGCCTGCCGCTTCTGTGAGCAGCACCCACCGTCAGAAGAGGATTTCTCAATCTGCACTAAGGCGAAAGGGGCACGGAAGGATTGAGAAACAAACGTTAAATCAGAACCCCGTGGTTTCTGCTGCAGCATGCCCTGTGCTCAAGTGTTTGTCCACCCCGCACGTGGGAGGCAACTGGCACGAAAGCACGCGCTTCCCGGCCGTGCCGTGCCAACACCACGCACCCCTGCCCGCCCGCATCCGGCTCAGGGCGTAATAACCTGCCTGAGGTCAGAACTTGGGCCGGCAAGTCCTAATTAGCGCTGGCATCGCCTGCCTGCGATGGCGTTTGGGCGTGGATCCACCCAGGCTGCTACCCCGCACGTGGGAGGCAACTGGCACGAAAGCACGCGCTTCCCGGCCGTGCCGTGCCAACACCACGCACCCCTGCCCGCCCGCATCCGGCTCAGGGCGTAATAACCTGCCTGAGGTCAGAACTTGGGCCGGCAAGTCCTAATTAGCGCTGGCATCGCCTGCCTGCGATGGCGTTTGGGCGGGGATCCACCCAGGCTGCTGCCAGCTGCGGGGGCGGCGCGACCCTCCCGAGAGCCGTGGCTGTGGGCAGGGGCTGCGGTCAGGGCTTGCAGGCAGGAGTTACAGGCAAGAGCTGTAGGCAGGGGTTGCAGGCAGGGGCTTCATGCGCT